AGTTCGAGACCCGAGTGTGCCACATGACAGAGTGAGCTCCCGTCTTTAGTTCCAGCTCCTGCCAACCTAGCAGTTCGAAAGCAAGAAATTGCAAGTAGATAAATAGGTACCACTTTGGTGGGAAGGGAACAGCGTCCCGTGCACCTTGGTGTTTAGGTCATGCCAGCCACATGACCACAGAAACGTCTTCGAACAGTGCTGGCTTTTCAGCTTGGAAACGGAGATGAGCACCGCAACCCTAGAGTCGGATTCGACTGGCTTTCGAGCAAGGGAGACCTTTACCTTCACTTTTTAAGGTGCTACTGGATTATTTTCTACTGCTACAGACAGACTAACACGGTGACCCATCTCGATCTTTCTGCCCACGTCTCCTGGGCTTGAGCCGTGGCACTGAGAAACCAGGTCCCAGGACTGGGCTTCTCCTCTCAGACTGAGCCCTGCCTTCGTCTCTTCTCTCTCTTTTCCACGGTTCTGTATAAATCCCCGGCAAGGCGAGAGTTACAACAGTTCCCCAGCAGAGGGGAGAAGAGAAGAAAGACGCACCAAAGGCCAGTCTGCCAGCTTCAGCCCAAAGCGCTGCGATGAACCAGGACGCGGCAAATTCACACAGAGCCCGTGGCCGCTGAGCCGGCAGCCGGACCCGCAAGGATGTCCCGTCTGGATGCGATGCCTTCCTCTTTGTCCAAAGCATCCCGCCGCAGGTAAGGGCTTTGCGCGAGAATCCTTCTGTCCCTTCCAGCTGGGGAATGTCTCCCTGACACCTGTCACTCCAAACTCGTCAGGCTGCGGAGCCCATCGGAGCACGTAATTATTTAGGGGTCCTCAGTTTTGGAAAGCGGATTTTCCCAAGGGTCACGTTTGGAGAAAGAGCAGGAGAACTTGGAGAGAGAGACGATGGACGCTCACAGGCAGGCAATTTCGTATAACGTTTTTTGGATGCCCTTATGGGGTGGGGGGGAAGCTTGACGGAAAACAAGCTGGGTAGTCGTGGTCTTGCAATGCGAAGATAAATATTTAATATTGGGATTAATTATTATTATGGGGCGGACTGTGGCTCCCTGGATTGTCTTCCTAGAGACAGGGAGGAATGTGAGGAACTCCAGAGGGATCCGTCGAGGCTGGGTGAGTGGGCATCAGCACATGAGGTTCGATGTGCTGGGATACACACTGTGCAAAGGGATACACACTGGAGCCAAAAATCCCAACTATAAATACACGTTCATGGGGTCTGAACTGGCAGAGTCTGACCAAGAGAGAGATCTTGGAGTCATGGTAGATGTCAACTGAAAATGTTGAGACAGTGTGCGACTGCAATAAAAAAGGCCAATGCTTGCTGGGGATTACTAGGAAGGGAACTGAAAACGAATCGGCCAGTATCATCATGCCCCTGTATAAATCGATGGGGTGGCCTCGTTTGGAACGCAGTTAAGGGGCAGCCGGAACGATTAAGGAATGGAACTCTTTCCCTCTGAAGAAAGGTTAAAGAGGTTAGGGGCTCTTCAGCTTGGAGAAACGATGCTCGAACAGTGACGCGATCAAGGTGTACAAAATGATGCATGGGATACAATACAAGGACGCGTGGGCACGTCATGAAATGAATGAGCTGTAGGCTGAGAACAGATTAGTAATTAACAGGTGGAATTGACTGCTGAAGGAAGGGATGGCGGCTACAAGCACAGACAGCTTCAAAAGGGAACTGGATGAACATCTGGAGCAAAGGTCCATCAGTGGCTATTAGCCACAAGGTATAGATGGTACAGGAGCTGCGGTGGCTCAAGTGGTTAAGGCGCTGACCTGCAGGCTGTGGAAGGTCAGTAGTTCAGCAGTTCGAGACCCAGGGGTGCCGCATGACGGAGTGAGCTCCCGTCTCTAGTTCCAGCTCCTGCCAACCTAGCAGTTCGAAAGCAAGAAATTGCAAGTAGATAAAATAGGTACCACTTCGGTGGGAAGGTAACAGTGTTCCGTGCGCCTTGGTGTTTAGTCATGCCGGCCACACGACCACGGAAACGTCTTCGGACAGCGCTGGCTCTTCGCCTTTGAAACGGAGATGAGCACCGCAACCCTAGAGTCGGACTCGACTGGCTTTCGAGCAAGGGAGCCTTTACCCTTATAGATGGAACACTCTGTCTGGGGCAGTGATGCTCTGTCTCCTTGGTGCTTGGGGGGGTCACCGTAGGAGGGCTGCTGGAGTTCTGGCCCCACTGGTGGACTTCCTGGTGACCCCTTGGTTTTTGGCCACTGTGTGCCACAGCGTGTTCGACTGGTGTTCTTATGTCTGGGGCAGGGATGCGCTGTCTTCTTGGAGCTTGTAGTGTATCCAGCCTGACATGTCCGGACATGCCCGGACTGGCTCAGGCACAAACACCACTAGCTTCATGCCGAAAGACGATGGGCCAGTAGGATCCTAGCCAGGCCCAATGAAAGGGCTAGGTCCCCAGCCGGGAGGCCAATAGGTCTCTCGGTTACTGTAAATAGCCTATCGGGAGTGGGGTGTGTGTTTGGTGTGTTTGGTGGCGGGTTTTCTGAAGGAATATAAGCCAGCCTGCGAGCCAGCCAAGTGTCTTTGTTCCGGACTAAATAAAGGTATGCTTAGCTGAAATCACTCTCTGGCTGTATACTTTTCAGAGCTTGGGAGGGGGCAACAGTGGGAGGGCTTCTGGAGTTCTGGCCCTGCTGGTGGACCTCCTGATGGCACCAAGGTTTTCACCACCGTGTGACACAGAATGTTGGACTGAATGGGCCGTTGGCCTGATCCAACATGGCTTTTATTTTAAGGAACGGGAGGTTGTTTCTAGAAGAGGAAACAAAAAATTAGTTACAGAGATCGGGGCTAGCTGCGGCCCCGCTGCTCCATAAAAGTTTCAGTGCACCTGATTCTTCTCACACACACCAGGGGTCATTTCGTAGAAACAGAGGTGCAGGAGCTCATTAGCATAACTCATTAGCATATCTTATTTGCATATGCCACACCCCCTGACGTCACCAGAAGTGTGTCAGAAGGCAACACCCACTGCTCAGGCGCCACTGGACTGTTTTGGATTGCTAGCTATTGGGGGAGGGGGAACGTGCAGATCTGCCCTCGCAGAGGAGGGAGAGCTTGTACCTGAATAAAACTTGGTCTTAAAGGTGCCACTGGACTGTTTTGGATTGCTATCTGGGGTGGGCTCTGCAACTTACCTTGCTGCTTCTTGCTCCTCGTGGCCCGACTGAGGGCTGCTGGGAACAGGGGGCGGGGCTTGTTGCATGTGCCCGCTCCCTGGGCTCTTTACTGCCGGAGCTCCGCTCCTGTGCGCTCCTGCAGGAAATGACCCCTGACACACACACACACACACACACACACCACTTTAGACCTTCCCCTAGCAAGGCCTGGAGACCTCCAGGAATTACCAGTGTGCTTCAGACAATAGAGATCAGCTCCCCTGGAGAAAATGGCTGCTTTGGAGGGCGGACTCTACATGACATTCTGCCCCACTGAAGTCCCCTACTTCCTCAGACCCCACCCTCTCTAGGCTCCGCCCCCGAAGCTCCGGGTGTTTCCCAGTCCAGAGCTGGCGACACCATCTCTCCACGGTATGCCGTGGCCTCTGGGGAGACGCCAAGCGGGAGCAGATGACAACGGGGGCCCCGTGCTTGATTTGCCTTTAGCGTTTGGCGCTCAGAGGTAGACTGCCTCTACAAGTGGAGGCTTGCTTTTGCCGTCAGTACCAACTGTGCTTGAAGAGCTTCTTCTTCAACAGTCAGTGGCCACGTCTGGTGCCAGTTTGGTGTCGTGGTAAGGCATGCGGGCTCTAATCTGGGAGAACCGGGTTTGAGTCCCCACTCCTCCACGTGCAGCCGCTGGCCTGACCTTGGGTCAGTCACAAGTTCTCTCAGAGCTGTTCTCTCAGGAGCAGTTCTGGAAAGAGCTCTCTCAGCCCCACCTGCCTCACAGGGTGTCTGTTGTGGGGAGGGGAAGGGGAAGGAGTTTGTAAGCTGCTCTGAGACGCCAAGTGAAGGGCGGGGTATAAATCCAATCTCTTCTCCTCCTCCTCCTCCTCCTCCTCCTCCTCCTCCTCCTCCTTCTTCTTCTGTCCCTTCCTCTGCAGGCAGATCTGATGGAGCCTAACCACACCTTTCCGGGGAACTGGAGCGTCCCCGAAGACCCTTTCATCGGCCTCCAGCTCCTGCTCCGGTTCAAGCCGTTCTTTGTGCCTCTCTACTGCCTCCTGGTGGCGGTGGCGTGCCTGGGCAACTGCTTCCTGGTGCTCTGCATCGTGGCCGACCACAAGCTCCACAACGCCACCAACTTCTTCTTGGGCAACCTCTCGGTGGGCGACCTCCTCATGTGCCTGGCCTGCGTGCCCCTGACCGTCTCCTACGCGTTCGAGCCCCGTGGCTGGCTCTTTGGGCCCGCCATGTGCCACGCCGTGGTCCTCCTGCAGGCCGCCACGGTCTACGTCTCGGTCCTCTCGCTCACTGCCATCGCCGTGGACCGCTACGTGGTGGTGGCCTACCCGGTGCGGCGGCGCATGGCCTTGCGCTACTGCGGGCTGGTGGTGGCGGCCATCTGGGCGGCCTCTCTGGTCTTGGCGGTGCCCCCGGCCCTGTACACGACCTACCTGGACCTCAGCAGCATCGGGCACGAGCTCTTCATCTGCGAGGAACTCTGGGACCGGATGGAGACGCAGCGGCTGCTCTACTCGTGCGCCATGCTCTTCGTCAGCTACATGGTCCCCCTCTTGGCCGTCACCGTCTCCTACTGCTCCATCTCAGCCCACCTCCGCCGCCGGGGCGTACCCGGCTTGGCCAGCTCCCACCAGGGCCAGTGGAACAGGCAGAAGCACAGGACCTTCGCCCTCTTGGTGGTCTCCGTGCTGGCCTTCGCTTTCTGTTGGATGCCCCTCCAGGTCCTCAACCTGGTCCGAGACCTGGACCCCAACTTCTCCGTCCTGAGCAAGCGGTACATCAATGTGGCCCAGCTCTCCTGCCACCTCATCGCCATGTCCTCCGCCTGCTACAACCCCTTCATCTATGCCTCCCTCCACCGCAAGTTCCGGGCCCACCTGTGCGGCTACTTCTGCCGCAGGGGGGAGGGGAGGGGCGAGTCGGTCCACACCGACCCCCGCGATACCAGTGCCCGGGGCACAACTGCAGTGTGATGGGACTTCACCGGTGCCCGGCTTCTCGCTTAAACTGGACACGCCTCGCTGGTTGGCCTGGATTAGCAGCCCCAGGGGTCATTTCGTAGGAAAAGAGGTGCAGGAGCTCATTAGCATACCTCATTAGCATAACTTATTTGCATATGCCACACCCCCTGACGTCACCGGACGTGTGTCAGAAGGCAACACCCACCGCTCAGGCGCCACTGGACTGTTTTGGATTGCTAGCTATTCGGGGGGGGGGGACATGCAGATCTGTCCTCGGTGGCGCCAGTGTTCCCTCTAAGCTGAGTTAGTGTGAGCTAGCTCACAGTTTTTAGCCTCCGGCTCACACATTTTTGTCTTGGCTCAGGAAGGATGGCTCCAGAGACAACTAATTTATGCAGCAGCCAAATGGCTCGCTCACAATTTTAATGCCAGTAGCTCACAAAGTAGAATTTTTGCTCACAAGGCTCCATACCTTAGAGGGAACATCCTCACAGAGGAGGGAGAGCTTGTATCTGAATAAAACTTGGTTTTAAAGGTGCCAAAGGACTCTTTTGGACCAGGGAGGGGCTCTGCAGCTTACCCGACTGCTTCTTGCTCTGACTGAGGGCTGCTGGGAGCAGGGGGCGGGGCTTGTTGCATGTGCCCGCCCCCTGGGCTCTTTACTGCCGGAGCTCCACTCCCGTGCGCTCCTGCAGGAAATGACCCCTGAGCGGCCCGATTTCAACGTGGCACCGTGAGCATGCGGTCTAAGGTAGCTGGCCTGGAGATCTTCCAGAATGACAGCTGATCTCCGGACGGCTGCTTTGGAAGGTCGATTCTCTGCTATTGTATCCTGGTGAGGTCTCTCCACTCACCGAACCCTGCCGTCTCCGGGATCCACTCCCAAAATCTCCAGGAATTTATCAACCAAGAGCTGGTAACCACGACACCATGGCCTGCAAAGGTCCAAGGGACTGTTTTTGCCTTGCCCGTGTTATGTTTAAAAGCAAGCCGAAGAAGGAACTGGGCGCCAGACAGTGCGTGGTGAAGTCACCGCAACAGCAACGACAGAATCGGGAGTTCAAAACCAGCACCGTGCTGTGGCAAGAGACTCTTGCAGTAGCTGGTGAATACTTTTGCAACCTGGTTGCCAATGAGGGTCACCAGCCTCCAGGTCGCACCTGGAGATCTCCCACTATTGCAGTGGATCGTCCAGACAACCAAGATCCGTTCCCCCTGGAGAAAATGGCTCCGTTGCAGGGTGGACTCTTTGGCATTATACCCTGCTGAGGTCCCTCTCCAAACCACACTCTCGCCGGGCTCCACACGCACACACACACCCCAAATCCCCAGGGATTTCCCAACCCAGAGCTGGTAACTCAGTTGCCGATAGCAGGCCAAGGCCAGAGACAATGGGGAACCCTTCGTGTAGAAGAATAGCCACAAACAACACCCACCAAGGGAAGACCAGGTGTCATTTCGTAGAAAAAGAAGTGCAGGAGCTCATTAGCATAACTCATTTGCATAACTCATTTGCATAGGCCACACCCCCTGGTGTCACTGCAAGTGTATAATAAGGCAACACCCACCGCTCAGGCGCCACTGGACTGTTTTAGATTGCTAGCTATTGGGGGAGGGGAGACGTGCAGATCTGTCCTCCCGCAGAGGAGGGAGAGCTTGTACCTGAATAAAACTTGGTCTTATAGGTGCCACTGGAGTTGTTTGGACTGGAGGGGGCTCTGCAACTTACCTGGCTGCTTCTTGCTCTGACAGGGCTGCTGGGAGCAGGGGGCGGGGCTTGTTGCATGTGCCCGCCCCCTGGGCTCTTTACTGCCGGAGCTCCGCTCCTGTGCGCTCCTGCAGGAAATGACCCCTGGGGAAGACCATCTACAATTCACAACTATGTTCAAAACTATATATGACATTCATTGAAATACAACAAAGGGTTAGTGGTCACAACCAATGCTCCCTCTAAGCTGTGGAGTCTTGTGAGCAAAAATTCTGCTTTGTGAGCTGTTGGCATTCAAGTTGGACCCCATGATGGTGGACCTCCTGATCAGCTGCCATCAAGTGGACCTCCTGATGGCACCTGGTGTTTTTGGCCACTGTGTGACACAGAGTGTTGGACTGGATGGGCCTTTGGCCTGATCCAACATTGGCGTCTCTTATGTTCTTATAAAGTTGTGAGCGAGCAGTTTGGCTCCGACATAAATTAGTTTGCTCTGAAGCCCTCCTTCCTGAGCTGACAAAAATGTGTGAACCGGAGGCTAAAAAACTGTGAGCTGGCTCACACTAACTCAGCTTAGAGGGAACACTGGTCACAGCCCAATGGAATGTATAGACATTGATCCAACAGATTGCTTAGAACCATTAAACATAGTTTAAACAAAGAACATATTCAAAACCAACAGTGGGCTCTTCTGTAATTCCATACATAGATAGTGTCCGTCAACCTCCAAACAAAGTCACTGCAGCAGAAGACTCCGTGGAAAGAATAGCAGCCAATTTCCAAAATAAAATTCTGTTTTACTAGTCGAAGACCATTGAAATGCTTGATTTACACCTGGGAGAGGCGTTCGGCTGTTATTCTTTGTATTTCAATGAATATAATATATAGTTTTGAACCTAGTTGTGAATTGTAGAGGGTCTTCCTTTGGTAGGTGTTGTTTGTGTTGATAGCAGGCCAAGGGGCAGGACTTTAGACTCCTCCAACAGATCCAGGATTACTCATTGAAACAAGGAGCGGGTACAGTCTTTGTAGCCGCTCCAAAAGCGAACGTATTTTATTTGGCATTTACGAGTGTGTGCGTTCGACAGGTGCTCAAATGGATGGAATGGCGGCGAGCGCTTTTGGGGTGGCGGCTTGGGTCTTCTGCCGCAGCGGAAATCTTCATCCTACAGTCAAGTGATTTTCTCTAATTTGTGCCGGCTCTCGTTCTAATGAGAGAGGACCTCAGCATCGCTCTGGAGACCTTGCCTTTCTTCAATCTTTGCTTGTTCTCGGATCTTGCTCTCTGTTATGTCTATGCTCACCACTGCCTGTTCTTGACACTCCCTCCAGTATAGAAAGGGGCTGTGGCTCAGTGGAAGAGCATCTGCTTGGCAGTCAGAAGGTCCCAGGTTCAATCCCCGGCATCTCCAGTTGAAAGGACCAGGCAGGAGGTGATGGGAAAGACCTCCGCCTGAGACCCTGGAGAGCCATGAAGTGGGGCTGTGGCTCAGTGGCAGAGCATCTGCTTGGCATGTGGAAGGTCCCAGGTTCAATCCCCGGTGTCTTCAGTTCAAAGGACCAGGCAGGAGGTGATGGGAAAGACCTCCACCTGACACCCTGGGGGAGCCATGAAGAGGGGCTGTGGCTCATTGCCAGAGCCTCTGTTTGGCATGCAGAAGGTCCCAGGTTCAATCCCTGGTGTCTCCAGTTAAAAGGACCAGGCAGAAAGTGATGGGAAAGACCTCCTCCTGAGACCCTGGAGAGCCATGAAGAGGGGCTGTAGCTCAGTGGAAGGTCCCAGGTTCAATCCCTGGCATCTCCAGTTAAAAGGACCAGGCAGGAGATGATGGGAAAGACCTCTGCCTGAAACCCTGGAGAGCCATGAAGTGGGGCTGTGGCTCATTGGCAGAGCCTCTGCTTGGCATGTGGAAGGTCCCAGGTTCAATCCCTGGTGTCTCCAGTTAAAAGGACCAGGCAGGAGGTGATGGGAAAGACCTCTGCCTGAGACCCTGGAGAGCCATGAAGTGGGGCTGTGGCTCATTGGCAGAGCCTCTGCTTGGCATGCAGAAGGTCCGAGGTTCAATCCCTGGTGTCTCCAGTTAAAAGGACCAGGCATTAGATGAGGTGAAAGAAAGACCTCCGCCTGAGAACCTGGGGGAGCCATGAAGAGGAGCTGTGGCTCAGTGGCAGAGCCTCTGTTTGGCATGCGGAAGGTCCCCGGTTCAATCCCCAGCGACCGGGCAGGAGGTGATGTGAAAGACCTCTGCCTGAGACCCTGGAGAGCCACTGCCAGTCTGAGTAGACAATACTGACTTTAATGTAAAAGACAGCTTCAGGACTCCATATGTCTGTTTCTCTGTACTGAGACCATTAAATTGATGCTTGAAGCCCCTGGGGTGTTCTCCATTTCCTCCCCCCTCCCCGACACACACACCATTTCCACACCACGCTTTATCCCTCCCACCCTCTTCCAGGGTTTGCACTAGTAGCCAGACTCTAGTGAAGTCTAGGAGACCCTCTAGGAGACCCAGCTGAGCTCTGAGCAGGAGCAGGAGACAGAGGTGCTAGAGGGGATTCAGCTGAGGATATTGTGTGGGAGAACTGGTCTGGGACTGGTCTGGGAGTCTATGAAAACGCTTAGAGTTGTTGCAGAGTCCTGGCTGCTTGAGAGAGGGAGAGGAAGGGGCATTGTTTGACTGTGATTGACTGTAATTCAGTATTTAAGAAACCACCTTGGCAGACTATCTGCTCACTGGACAGAAGTCTTGGGTGTGTGCTCGGTGCAAGGAGCTCCTGGTTCTCAGGAAACGTGTGTGCTCCCTTGAGGCCAAGGTGGCTGACCTGGAGAAGCAGAGACAGTCAGTTAGGCACACAGAAAAGACTCTCGGGGACTTGTTAGATACGTCTCACTCTGGATCTGGCAGCCCCGCTGCTGTCAGGGAGCATGAGGGTCTAGGGGAAACAGGGCACTGTGCTGAGGATGAGGGGAATGTGCCCTCAGAAGGGACCTCTTCCCCAGCTGGTGAGCGGGTATCCTTTTGCACCAAGGAACCATCCCTGAGCAGGGTGGGAGGGGGGCTCTTGGTAGTGGGTGATTCGATCCTTAGGCAGGTAGACAGCTGGGTGGCGAACCCGCGTACTGACCGTATGGTGACTTGCCTGCCTGGTGCGAAGGTAGCGGACATTACGCGTGTTTTAGATAGGCTGGTAGATAGTGCTGGGGAGGAGCCAGTGGTCGTGGTGCATGTCGGCACCAACGATGTGGGGAAATGCAGTCGTGAGGTCCTGGAGGAGAAATTTAGGATGCTGGGCAGGAAACTTA